GCCTGTGGAAAAACACCCGGTCAGTGTTTACCGGTTCTGTTCACCCCATTGAAAAGAACATACAGTCAACCGTGTAAGACCCCACCTCACAGCCTATAGTACACACTCTGCCTATGTGTGTGTTAGTGTGCTTATCCCCTGCACCGTCAAAGTCTGCCCCTCAGTGGGGAAACCATGGAAGGACATTTTGGTCTAGTTTGAAGGGGACTGCTTGGTCGTGGCACACATTTAGGTAGGTTACTGGTAGCTAACTGGGTTGAAGCGCATGTCTGGAGGGGAGACATTAGAATAATATGGATGATGGAGTAGACAAATGAAGGGGATAAGAAAAATCAAGAGTGTAGGAGAGAGATGGTGTGTGTGTGTGTGTGTGTGAGAGAGAGAGAGAGAGAGAGAGAGAGAGACCCAGTTTGTGCATTGGGTCAAGCCAGAGGGTGCCTGTAAATGATGAGGGGAGTTAAAAAAAACTCAACCCACAACAGGTACAGTATTTTGCCTTCAGGTGTGGCCTTGATATCCAGGCTGCAAACACCATTTTAACACATACTGTCTGAGACTGCAAGGCAGCCAGAGCTAGGGTGGAACTGAATATGAATTGATTGATGATTAGTTTGTTTTGATCAATGTTTTCTGTACGAATTGATTTTTATTTGTCTCTAAATCATTTCTGCTTTGCACTGCTTTATTGGAGACAATTACCCCATCCAGGTTTTGCTCTAACCTTTTTCTGCCCATGTATTCTGTTGTTTTCTGATGTGGCTCAGTTCCATTCAACCCCACCTCTTCTCCTGACCACATTCCCCCATGTTGATGCATCAGCCCAGACACTCCAGTATATATAAGTGGTGTAGGGGGATGCTCTGTGTGGATGGATATCTTTCCCTTCATTCTAAACCACTTTTCATTTGACCTTGCACCTTTCATTCTCCTCTTCCTCTGTCTTTGTTTTCTTTTGCCTTGAGGTGCATCTAGTGCAGTCCAGTGAACAAGGAGATTTCTCCAAACTTGGTGAGAGGGGAGAGGAAGAGATTTAGACTGCACAGTGGCTTTAGCTCACACACAAATCTGCCCTGGTGTAGTAGAAATGTTCTTTCATACAGACTTTTTCTGTGAAATGTAGCTGAATCTGGGTAGATATTTTATGTTTAAGAAGTCAAGCAAAACAGAACTCTTAAAATTTGGACAGGTATGAATTTGTCATGTACAGTTCAGTCATGTGTTTTGTACAGACCAGGCAATCATATTCATATTTAGGTCATGTTGCCTTAATTCAAATTTTGTTTTGATGCTGATTAATGACAGTGTGGTTCAGTGCGGTGCCAGACAGTTTATTTTAGTCTACTGTGCTCTTTCAGGACAATTTGGAGTGTTGATAACGTTGACCACTAGAGGGCAGCAGAGAACAAAGAATGAATATAGTGGCTTGATTAAAGAGGACAAACTATGCTCATTGCTTTCTGCATGTTTTGCGTATGCATTGTAGTGTGTGGATTCTTCTATTCACAAACAGCACTTTCTGTACTACACAAAATGACTACACAGAAAACAATACTTGGTTCATTACTATGTCACAGGATCTTGTAACATGGTCAGGACAAGAACCAGGCAGCTAACTGTAAATCCAGATAAAAGTTTGTCACTCAGCATCTATCACCCTTTAATTTATCAATATAATTTCTTGTGTGTTGGTTCCTCTGTAACCTCACAATGACCTCACAGATGCTGTCTTTGCTTTGCCTGTTTTTGTTGCTCTATGGGGACACATTGTTGTGGCTGGAGGTCAAAAAGGCCGATGATATTGATGCTGTGATTGGTCATGTTGCACCCACAGGAATTGCAGTACAATACAGATTTGGGACAAAGCAAACCACTGGCCCAAACAACAGTGTCTCAGGGGCATCTGAAGACATGAGGAAAGTTTTGGCTTCTGAACTGTTCATATTCAGTGTGAGATTTATGTAATATTTAACTATCAGCATTTTTGAATCCCTGATCAAATGTTTGATAGACTACTATTAAAATTTATTTCAGTTATTGGCACTATTGATTATCACTTCATTATTAATTTAGGCTTTAAAATGTCAGAAAACAGTGAAAAATCTAAATTTCCAAGTACACAGTACCAGGTTGGCCCAGTATTTAAATTTCTTGTTTTGTCTGACCAATAGTCCCAAATTAAAATATATTCAATTCTACTACAGTTCTTCTACTACCATTGAAGGCTAAACAAACCAGCAAATATTAACATTTGTGAATCTAGAATCAATAATTTTATTTTATTTTAATTTTTTATTTTTTACTTAACCAATCAAACATTTATCAAAATTGTTGCTGGTAAATTTCCTGTTGATCGAATGCAATAATGGATTAATCAGTTATTCAGCTCTAATAATACTGTAGCTACCACCAATACTAAATAAAAGGAACTATCCTAAAAATGCACTCATTTAACATTAGTATTTCTGTGATGCACACAGAACCATTTTATAGAACATCCATCCATCTATTTATCCATTATCTATACCACCCTGGTCCACCCTGGACAGGTCGCCAGTCTATCATAGGGCTGACATGTAGACAAACAACCACACATACACACACACTCCTACAGGCAATTTAGAGTCACCAATCAACCTAAGCTGCATGTCTTTGGGTTGTGGGAGGAAGCCGGAGTACCCAGGGAGAACCTTCATAGAACATTTTAATCAGTTTGTATATGACTTATCATTCTAGTAGTGGCTGTTTTATTCTGGCTGTATGCGTATGGCATAGTGCCTGGAAAACATAATCACCCGCTTCTAGAGATGACAGGCCACCAGCCAATTCTGCTCTATTGCAGTGGTCTTGATTTTTCTTTGCCTGCAAGAGGCTGATGTTTGAAATATAGGACACCTTGTCAGTGGCTTTTATTACTAGTGTGACTTATGGAGGTTATGGTCTTCTTTAGCAGGTGGTGACTGGAATTTTATCAGTGAATGAATTATAAAAGATGCACTGGAAATGGAAGCTACTAAATGCTTATTTTTTTCCATTACATAGGTTTTTGTGCTGTTTCTTCATATTTTTATTCATCCAGATACAAAATTGCTCTCTATTCAATAATTGTAATTTCCTGTTCATTCATCATGATTCCTCTTTGCATATCTGCCCTCAGACAAAGGTTTTTTTTAATCCAGAATAGCAGTTTGTTTTGCATGTGCACATATCGTGTGCACATCTTCTCCATGCATCCTCATACACTTGAGCACATGTACCCAGCCGCTACTCCCTCCCTTCCCAATCCTTCTTTTTACCTCCCTATGTTCCTTATCCATCCATCGTGCCCTCCCTGAAGCTACCCCATTGGTCCTTGCCTAGCAACCGCATTATAATTTGGCATAATGTGACACCCCTGATGCATGATGTGGGTGGAGCCTGAATAGATTTGAGGAGGAGAAAGGGGAATTTCATGCTCATATCATTACATGGCTGGTGTCCACCGGCTAAACCTGTCCTCTGTCCCTAGAGAGTTCTTCTCCTCTTTCTCTAGCAGCTATGCTTAATCTCTTTTCTTATTCTCAGCTTTTATGCATATGGTTCCCATTTAGTCCATATGTACAGGTAGAGGCATGAACATATACAGTAGAATTTGTGTATAGCAGGCATGTGATGAGGCAGCCTCTCGGTATCGAAAGGACCCAGTCAGGCTCATGGTGCCTTTGACACGCAGGCATGCAGGGAAAGAAGCACAAAGATGGCCACTGCATTCTCAGTCCATCTCCACTCTGCCATATCTGACGTGAGCACAGACAGGGCATCCTAAATGAGATGTCTGGTGCTTTCTTTTTTCTCCTCTGTATTTCTTCTCTCTCTTATTCAGTCACAGAAAATCAAACTATATCTTTTCTCTTTCCACCCATCTGTCTCTCTGTAGACCTCCTTTCTCTTCTATACTTCTCCTCCTCCTTCTTTGTCTCTCTGTTTTCAACAAAGATCTGAGTGATTTGGTGAAACAAAAGCCCTCCTGGTCCTGTTTGAGCTCTCCTTTTTGATCTCAGTGATCCTAGACGCTGGGCTGACCACACTGAGTTTAGAGCAATGCACAGGGCTGAGAACTCATAAATCAGGGATACATTTCTTTCTTCTTCTTCTTCTTTTATTTGTACAGTCATCTAATTATTTATTAGCTTGTATACTAAATCATTTATCATTTGCTGCCTGGTTGATAGGTTTTTGGTTTGCAATTCAGTGAGTTAGTGATTCATTTCTTTTCAGCTATGATTACGTGAATAAGTCCTGTCAAACTGGCAATACTAATTATCATCAGTTATAGCTACCTCTTCTCTGTGTGCTCATACATGTGTGTTTGTGATATTTCTGCTTTGTTACAATCGGGATCCTTCACCTCCTTATGCTGAGGTGTGTCCATGCATGTATGTGTGTGTGACAGTGGATAGGTTGGAAGTACACAAACAGACATATGCACACGTTTGTACAGCTGCAGTACAAGTACAGTACACAAATGCCTAAGCCTGACCCTTAACCCTTAAACCAAGCCTTAACCCTCAAAAAGTCCTTTGAATTGGTGTCTGAAAGGGAGAACTGTTCAAAAAGTCTTCACTCCCATGGCACGTCTCAAACTGGAACTCATAATGTATAGACAAATACACACATGCACACACACTCACTGACTCCACTGTTGATCGTCACCACCATTTCCGTTCCTTTTGTTCATTTTCTCACACACAATATATCTCTTTCTCATGCACATATCTCTGACACTCGTCTGCATGGTGAACAGTAGGTGAGGTATATCAGCGGGAACCAAAGCAGAGAGAAAGAAAGAAACGTTTAGTAGGACGGATTGAAACAGAGCATGGTTGCTGAGGTAACATTCCCCTCGCGCCCTCCCTCCCTCTGTCTCCATTCTCTCTCTCCTCCCTCCCTCCACTTCAGCGCTGGTGATGCTCGTGTCTCTTTTCTCTCCATCTGGTTTGTCCTCACCTCTCCTGGACGCCCTCCTCTCACACTGCCAGCGGATGATACATGAGGAGGAGGAGGAAGAGGAGAAGCTGTCTCTTCTCTCTTGTCTTTCCATCACTTTGACAAAAGAGAGAGAGAAAGAACACTCCAGACAAGAGCAACAACCAAAAGAAAGGACACACAGGATATACATACATACCTAAAAGAAACCCTACTCTTCTTCATTCTCCTTTTCAAGGAGGGCATTTTTCTTCCCTTTCCCCCCCTTTCCTTTTCTACCCCGATTTTTTCCTCTTGAGATCCCAGTTTTGCTAATTACAGCCCCCGAACTCTGGGATTTCAGGTGAGGCACGCGTGCGTAGTGTATGGTGCTGCTTGGTTTATTCATTACCCATCATGGCTCACGCGGCCTCCCAACTGAAGAAGAATCGGGGGGAAGTGGATGTGAATGCAATAGAAGATGAGAAGGAGAAGCGGAGGAAGAGCAGGAGAACAACATCTCGGGAACCAAAGAGAAAGGTAACAGATGAGGCTTGGTTGGCTGACTGGTGGCTTTATGTGCTCCACTGCTCTAGCATCAATGGAGCGTGACTATGTGTGTGAGTGTATCTCTACATCTCAGCTTGACTATCAGAATCAGCTGGCCTTGGTGGATGCCTCGTCTCACACACATAACATTCATGTACATGCTCATATCCGGGCATAAATTAAGACATACACACGGAGACAGCAGTCACGGTGTCTGCCTCTAACCTTGCATACTAAATGTGTGTGTGGAGTCTGTGTATTTATTGTTGGTATGCATGGGAAATTCAGGCATATCGTAACATGTCTTTATGCATGTTATAGTTGAAAGTCAAAAATAATTTCACCTGTTTCTGCACAATGATCTCAGCTACCTGTTTCTAGATGAGGTGAGCGCTGCACAGTCACACTGAGGTTTTTTTTTTTCCCTGCCACTGGCTCTTTTAGCGTTTCTCAATATTGCTTGTCTTTAGTAAAACTACATCACACAAGGAGAAATTAGGGGTGGTGGTGGTGGTGGGGGGGAGTTATGATCATTCTGTATGATTTGTTAGATGTAACTGAACCATGTTGTGGGCTTTAAACTGGACCAACTCAATGCTGAGTTGTGAAGGCAAGAGAGGTCATGCTTGCATTTGTTTTTAAAATGGCAACACATTATCAAATTGGGCAAACACTGGCCAACATGCAAAAAAAGAAAAAGTGCACTTGTCACTTGACAATGGTTTTGGATATGTATGTGTGTGCTTGGATGCACAGAGCCATGCATAATGGATTCACGACTAATTTATTGACAGAGTTTTTCATATAATGGAGGAGGAACTGAAATGCACACGAGTCACCCTCCTCTTCATCCTCTTTTTCATGTCAACTGTTTACTTTGGACAGACCAGTGGAGGAACTTACACCCAGTAAAGAAAAAAAAATTTTAGTTTTTTTTTTATAAGGGACCATTGATGGAAACAGGAACAAAAACAAAGGCTTACTTGTAATTTATACACAGATGTGTACATTCTTCGGTCTGGACTATAGAAAGCATTGATTGCATTTTGCGTATTGAATGTGGGGATTTGACTGTAAGAGATCTGTTCAGTGACAGTGACATTTACTGCATTTTGTGCCCATGGGTGCCTGGTTTTGAATTATGCTGCTGGCAATGTTATTCGACCTTAGCATCCACAAGAGACGAGCTATTGTGCCCTAATCTAAACCAAAACTAGAGAGAAAAGATTCATAAAGTTAAATGAATTTATAGATCAACAGTATTTCTCCCATACAGGCAAGTCAATACTTGTGCATGCTTATAGGTGGACATGACATTTTTCTTTATTGTATTTGTGTTCATGTGCATGTGAAAATCATTGGTCTGTGATCTCAGGAGGTTTAGGAGGTGTCATAGTCCATATGAAAGGTTATGTTTCATAGAACACAACAGGAGACAGGGATGATGAGGAGAGGAGAAAGTTGTATTGATTGGATTGTGCACTGTGCCATCCAGGAGGATAATAAGTGTTCTCTTCCCGCCTCTGCCATGTCCTGCATCTGTCCCTCTGCCCTCACACCATCCTGTTCTTCTCTCCCTCATTCCCTTCTCTGTTTATCCTCTTTTTTGAGTCTCTCCTTCCATCCACTTGTCTCTCACTGACTTTTTTCTTATTAGTTAGTGTCTCATGCTGCTACCTAAAAAAATATTGTCAGAAAAACAAAGTGCAACACTGTTAATGTTTGCCCATTTACTTGAAGGATGTAAACTTTTAGGACATTGACTGTTTGTGCTGTTTCTGACACACATATTGATTAACAGTAGTTATACTGTATTTCTCAATACTAAGTGCTCTCGTGTCTCCATTGTAGTTTTACTCCTCGGCGGCGCTTGCTTGATTACGGTTTTACTTGTTAATGGCCTTCAAATTCTCAATGTCTCACAAAACATGAGTATAGACTGAGGGGTGACAGAGCCATAGACATGTGATGAAAGAGCGGCACATGCAGAAGGACTGCATGAGAAATAAAAGCACAGTGTAGTCACAAACAGCAGAGGAAGGAATGACAGATTAAAATCAAAGCTTTACAGAGTGATAACAAAAGCAAGAGAAAATGTGAATAACTGGGTCAACTTGCACCAACAGGACTTTATTCCTAATCAGTGTGTTGCCAACTTTTTAAAATGCTATGAAGCACAAATAATGGCTAAAATAATAAATCAATTTAAACTGGACCATTTGATCACCACAGTAGCATCAAGAAGACAGTGTAAATTCAGTGCATACGGTGCAAAGTGCATGTCAGAGACCTGCTGCTTCTATCAGATCCCACTCAGGTCAGTGTTGACCTAATGGAGTCCCAGGTCTCTGGGGGGGATCCCTGCTACACATGCTTAACAACTTTTGGCATGTGTTTGTAGTGTGTATCATCAGAAAAACACCACAGAGGGACATTAAAAGTTTCTACCTTTGTTTCCTAGGCAATAGTAGGATGTTAACCTAAGAACGAGAAAGAAAACACACTGTGTATTTGTGTCTTTGTTTGAATGTTGTTGCAAAAATTGTCCATGTGTTGTATGAGAAGCTTTGAGTCTGTGAAAGTGAAAGCTCGGTTAGCTGCGGTGGTCATCTGAATGGGAAAACCCCGTTACACCATTATATAAATTCTCAGAGCTGCTTTACTTCTAATGACATTATCTAGAGCCAGGATCCCCCAGTGGATTCGTGGAGAGAAGCAGCGAGAGAGCCAAGTAAAGCATAGGTTTCCTACTGCTCTGCCCCAGTTTTACACACATTCTAGCACACAGAATGGGCACTACTGCTGTACAGTACCTATTGTTTCTCTCACAGAGCTTATATGGGCCATGTGCTAGCTTTAATCCACAGGGTTATTCTATGTCTAATCTGATTGTTCTTTGCCTGTTTGCCAGTTTGTGCACCTGTGTCTTGATTGTGTTGTTAAATTGTTAAATTTGATGCACTTCATTAAAAATTCCAGAGACCACTGGCAGATGAATGGCACCTTCATGTATCGCCATCATAGCTGTCCATTAGGCGGTCTGAATCTGGATCACAGTGGTGAATCTAAAGCAAGAATTTGGAATGAACACAACTCGCTGTATTGAAATTGGAATTCATCTCTGTGCTGCCTTCAGAGCAAGCCCATGGCAACAGTGGCGAGGCGAGAGTCTGAGTGGCCCTAAGAGGAAAAGTGAGCCGTGGGGAAAAGAGTCATCAGGCTTTAGGCACAGGAAGGAAGAAAACATTATACCAGCGCATATTCTAATAGATTTGTCTTCTTTTTTTATTTCTTTCCTTTCCATCTCATTTCATTTGGTCATTTCTCTGCTCTCACTTTGTGGTTTGGCTGAAACAAAGCCGGCACGTGTGTTGCTTTTCTCCTCCTTCCTCACCTAGTCCACCTCCTCCCCTCCCTACAAACCCATAAAAGATGGAGGTTAATGAATTTGGCGCTCATGCATGCCTCAGCTAATTGCACTGACATTGGGAACCCCTCCTACTATTCCAAAATGTTTTCACCATCAAGATGGTAGATGGCCTGCTGTGCTGCTGTCCATGGAAATAATGACAATCCATGTAGCATACACAGCTTTTTAATTCATTCGGGGGGAATATGATATGTGATTTTATTAAGTTGGGTTAATCACCTAAACATTCAGTTTGTCCAGTAACACTACCCATGTCTATGTGTTTGTGTGTGCACTAATCTCAGAGGGGCTGTAGGGACCCTCATCAGTCAGAAAGGTTGCTTTGGTCAATGTCCACTCATCAAAATGAAGTGTAGCTGTACATAGTCTACATGTAAAGTAACTCACATATGCTCTCAAACATAGAGGCAGAGATGAACATTCCTTCTGCTGCCTTTTCTGAAGTCCATGGCCATGTTGGTCTCAAAATAGTGGTCTTTTATTCCTGCTCAGAATAACATTCTGCTCAGCCCAAAGGCTGTAAAGACACATTAAAATCAGAATTGATAGGTTTGCAGTTTTTTTTTTTTTGACTCTGTCTTAAAACAGATTTCTTAGGGAGCCTTTGTGATTGAAATTCGGTGTATTTGGGTATTTGTTTATGCAACCACTGGGGAATAAAATCCATGTTGTCTACTTATGGTTCCTGCTCTGGTACATCTGACAGCAGTTTTTCTTTTATGTGCATCAGGTGATGTACCTTAAGCTCAGCAGAAAACTTTGACATCTTTATACCAGTCACATGGGCACCAGATAAAGTGTGAGTGTGCTGAAGAGTCAGAGAGAGAAAACAGTGAGGAAGAAGGAGCGAGATAGAAAGAGAAAGTGAACAGATGTGTGAGAGGGTGAGAGCTGAGGAGAAATGAAGAGAACTGGAAAAGCAGAGAGAGAAAGAAGGGACAGAGCATGATCATAAGCCTAGAGGTCATTTAAAGGTGAGTGCCCCTCTTCAAATCCACGTGCACACTCCTCTTTGTCCCTGTTGGTCTTTCTAAAGTGCTGCTTTATAGATAATTGAATGGGTTTTGACAGTGTTAGGAGAATAGAATCCTTCACTGGACAGGAGCTTATAAGATTGTTGTTTTTACATGTGACGTTTATCATTTTCTGTATGAAACTCACCCATACTGTACCTATGCAATGTGCATATTAAAAAGTGTATTGTACAGGCTTCATAGGAGAATTCTAGACTGATTCACTGCATCTGGAGCTGATTTGCTGTTTAGTTGATCAACAGAAATAATTGGCAGTTATTTTGGGAGAATCAAAATTTTAAGTCAATTTTCAGGTGAATATATAAAATGCTTCTCTTTTTCAGTATTGTTCACATGACGATTTGTTGCTTTTCTGTCAGTGATAGTAAACTGAATATTTACAGTTTATTGTAAGTTAGAAAAAACAAGCAGCATGATGGGATACAGAAGTTGTAACAAGCCCTCTGTACTCTTTAATGATTATTGGCCTGCATCTATAAGAACAGAAAATATAGAAGGATATAGAGCTGTTTGCAGTTGGCTTTCGC